GTGAGATCCCACAGATTGGGCCTCCTTCAGATGCCGTCAGCCAGACAATGTCGGCTGGCGGCTCCCCAGAGGAGAGCCTTCTCTGTGGCTGCTCTGACCCTTTGGAATGAGCTACCCCCAGAGATCCGGACCTTGCCCACTCTCATGGCCTTCAGAAAAGCTGTTAAAACCTGGCTATTCTGGCAGGCCTGGGGCTGTTGACCTCATTGTTGAGGTCCAGCCCCGATCAGATCGAATACATGTTGTGATTTTAATTCTGTCGTTTTTAAAAAAAATTTATTATTTCTTTTCCTCGTTTTGTAAGCCGCCCGGAGTCCTTCGGGATTGGGCGGCCTATAAATTTTATAAATAAATAAATAATCTATCTCTAGTCCTTTCAGCAAGTTCCAAAAAGGCTCCACACCCATTTGCACCCCTCAGGTGACCCTGAGGACACAGATGAACCTCCAAGTGGCCTCAACAACTCTCTAAAAGGACGCAAATGGACCAGCTGTCTGCAAGGAGTGTAAATCCTTCCATTCCCCACCATCCACCCAGAGCTGAAGAAGCTTCTTGGAAGAGAAGTGAAACGTTTTCAGAGAAAAACAAGGAAGTCCAGTTGCCTCCTGAAAAAAGCACCTTTGGGACAAACCATCACCTGGATGTCTTCGCAGACTCTTGCTAAGGAGTTCTCGATTCACAGAACACCTTTTGTAATACGGATTGCTACTTAGAAACTGTCCCTGTTGTGTCCTGGTTGGATTTAATCTAATCTTGCCTTGCCCCACCCAGATCCTGGTTAGACCCTTTGATGTTCTTCCTGGAAATAACTGCTATTCCTTTGTTATTTAGCTTCCTGAGATGCTCAGCGCCCTTAGCTGTCACAAGCCGGTCCTCTGCCTTCTAGGAAATCCAAACGCAACTCAAACACCACTCACCTGAGCCACTTGTACAACCTGCAACTGTATGTGTTGGGGTTGTTGCAAGCCAGCTGCGGATTGCGATACAGGAATATACTGAATGCGTGGAAAATCACCCTGCGAGGTTCGGTAGTCAGTGGTCAGAGTCTGGGACAGCTCCGTCATGGCTTGCGTCAACAGATCCGATGTCTTTACGAGAGGGAAAACGGGGAAAGGGAGATTGTTATATAGTTTAAATCAGGAGTGTCAAAACTCGATTTCATTTAGGGCTGCATCAGGGTTGTGTTTGATCTTGGGGCGGAGGGAGAATGGCTGGGGTGGGAGTGGCCAGCTCGACATCACTGCCAGCAAAAATGGGCTCCTGTGTTCCGTTTTCAGCTGCGACAGCCTCCTGCAACCCTCTGCCAGCAAAACATAGCTCACAAGGGCTGCCTGTGGCTCTCCCTAGCTCCGTTTTCGCTGGCAGGGGCACTGCGGGCCAATCCTTCACTGTTTCCAGGGCGGCACCAGATCTAAGTATCCCATGGGACGGATCCGCACCCCGGGCTTTGAGTTTGACATCCCTTGTTTAAATTGTATATATACATCCTAGCAGTGGTGAGAGTCAAAAACGTAACAACCGGTTCTCTGCACTGATGACCGGCTGAGTAGGCGGGGCTCAGTGGTCATGTGACTGGGTGGGGCGTGGCCAACTCAACATCACTCAGGTCGATGGGCGCTTTGCCTTAGCTATTACTATGTAATTGTCAGGCCTTCAGCCAGTTGGGATCTATGGCCTGCCACACTAATATTCTATTCTACTATGCTGTTTCATTAGTAGGGAATTGGGATGGGGAATAGTAAGGAGTAGAATGTGATATTGTCAAAATAACATTCCTTTCTAGAATCCAAGATCATCCTTTGTTTCTACAACTCTGGACCTGACCGGAACTGGATCTGGGTGGAACTGCCAGCATAACAGTGGAAGATTGGACCATGTGATGGACGTGTGGGTGTGGGGGCAAGATCATGAACTTTCAACTGGGTGGGGAAAACCCAGGAAGCTGAGATTTATGTCTTCCCAGATGTGCCAACACATCTCTTAATAAATTGGAACTTTGCCATGGACTCTGATTTAATTTTG